GAAATGGAAATAAATACCATAGTAAGGTAGAAGGTAGCGACATCAAAAAGACCCTAACAACAAGTATTAGAGAGGATGTAAAGAAAGAGGAATAGATACCGTAAGATTCAGTAATCCAACTTGTGAGTATCTGTCCAAAAATTGTAAAGCCATTAATTCAAAGAATTATGCACCTTACAATACTTATTGTGGCTTGATTAGCAGTAGTAGCGTAAGCGTGCGCGGGTGAAAACCCACAGGCGGGCACCCCAATTCACATTGTATTTTTCACAGTAGTATTTATAAATTTGTATGAGTGAGCACATGTTGCTGAAATGATGCATTTTCCTTTACCTGAGGAGAATAAAGCTCAGCCTTTCACTACAGAAGAATCATCAGGTCTCCAAGTGTGCTAACCAGTCACCCAGAGGAAAAGGATCTGTGAATTTCTCTTTGCCTCTGAAATACAGCATTTCCGATAGCCTGAGAGGTCTGTACACTGGGGGATTAAAAGAGGTCAGGATGCCTGGTGTTAAGTTTGGGTAATCTCAAGCAATGAGGCCTGAGCAGGATGCAGGGTGGTCCACACAGGAAGACCTGACAAAGAATTTGACTATTATCCTTAGCAGTAGAGGAAATTGGATCATTCTAAATGAGAGAATTTCATATTTGTGTATTTAGAGAAAGGTCACTTGGGTTGCTATGTTGAAAATGAATTAGAAGAAGCAAAAATGGAGACTGGGAGAATTGGTGGGAAGCTCGGAAAGGTATTAGCAGTCTGCTCTGTGGTTGCAACAGAGGAAATGGAAATGAATGGATTCAAGAGAAAGAGGTAAAAACATTTAATGACTGTGGAGGCTGATTTGGGAGAAGAAAGAGACTGGGAGTTGGTTAAAGAGAAAGTCTAATACCAAGGAGAAGCACATTGTGAGTCTACCTGGGGGGTGAGGAAAATTCTGAGAATAAGACCAAAGTGGTTTCCTTTCTGTTGTGTAGGGTGTAGGTAGGGTGATTTTGCCTAGATTGAGGCCTTCAAAAGAAATCTTGAGGATTACTGGATCTTGCTCTATAGAAACAGGAAGAGGGGCAAGGAGAGAAAGAAGGGGAGAGGGGAAGGAAAGAAACATTTGTGTTTTGATATATTTACTAGGGAGGAAGTGTTGATTTGTCCACTAGTTTTCTCTTCTGTAGCCCCAGGGTGACTGGAAGGCCCTGCAAAGGGCTTCTAAAAAGCTGGATGTTGGTAGTAGTGTTCACCTTTCCTTGACTGCATTTCCCAAGCTGAATCCCAGTGAGAAAAAACTATTTCCTCTTTACTACTCTTGCCCTAAATGAGAATACTGCTTTGTTCCAGAACAAGCCTTGGGGCTTCAGAAAAAATTCTAACATTTAAGATTTTGTCATGATTTGCTTTGGCACTTTGTTTTTTAGTTTGAGGTAGCCCCAAGGGTCGAACTATTCGGGTGAAGGGAGGGAGGATTAGGTAATTATTATAATAGCTAACATTTATTAACCATTCGCGATGGTGCAGTTACTGTCTAGAGTGCTTTGAAGGTACCAGTTTACTTAATCCTCATAGCATCCCCATGATAATTATGTGCTTTTAGTATCTCTGTTTTATTGATGATGAAACAGGCGTGGAGAGGCTTAGCAACCTGCCCAAAGGCACACAGCTGGTTGGCAGCAGAGCATGCAAATCCAGGCAGTTTGGCTCCGGAAACCACACTCCAAACAGCTAACAGGGAGGCTGGGACTCAGCCCAGTCTTGGATATTCCCCATGTGGAAGGAGCAGAATCTCCCATGAGGCTATTCGGGACCCAAAGCCTGGATTTGGGGTACATTACCTGAGCCTGCAGGAAGAGTTAACTGCCTTAACCAAGCAGGCTGAGCTGTTACCAGAGCACGAGGTAGAACTTCTAGGCAAAAGAAGAGTCCTTACGCCATAAAAATTTTGGGGTGATGGGGTCTCTGCTAAGTGGGGTGGGAACTGAGGCCTGAGGAGATGCAGAATTACCCACCTCGCTTAGGGAGTTTATACAGCCATTCCACAAATATTTATTGTGCTCCTACTACATGCTCCAGATTGCCTGTCCTTTCTTGGTGTGTGACTCTGTGCAGACATTCACTACTAGCTTCCAAGGAATTCCATACCTTGTGGGGTCCGTTAGGCACTCACATAGCCGCGCCTCCACCTTCCTTGTCTGCTCTCCAGCAGCCCAGACTAGAGGGCCCCACTGTATGCTGGACTGTGTTTGTTCAATAACGCTTGGAAGCACAAGTGAGCTCTGTATTACCCCTTTGGGCTCAGCCGGCTGGAGTGCTTGGAAGCCCCTCGGTCTAGCCCTGCAGAGCCACAGGGACGACCCAAAGCACCAGCCATCAGCTTTGTTCCTCAAGCCTCTGGAGAAAACCTTTGATTTCATGGTTATTTTTATTCTTGCCCACTCAAGGATGAAGCCCAAGAAACAAGAGGTTACCCCTTTCAGAGGCATCACAATGGGTCACCTCTAGCCAAACCCACTTTTTTTTGTTTTTGTTACTTCTAGGTCTGGTTGAGCCTCTCTTGGAAACCATGACTATACAACTTACTTAAAAGAAAGACTGGAGGGTTTGGGCACAAGAGACCCAGACAGGAGTGGGAGTGGGGGGAGGGGGGCAAGGTGGGGAATGGGCAGTTGGGACGGGAGCCTGGAAGTAATGTGTTGTCAGAGAATGTGCAGGAAGAACACACTGAAGTCACAATCTGATTAGGATCAAATCCATTTTGTAGTGACATTTTTAATCTTTTGTGATTTCAATACTATTCCAAGTTTGACTTCTGGCCAAGCCTGGAGAATTGGAACTTTGGATAAAGGTTTCAGAAAAAGACACAACACACACACACACACACACACAGAGAAAGGGGAGGGAGAGGAGACTTTTATCCTAAAGTCATTGTAAATCCAAGGCAGGGTTTTAACCTCCACAGTTAAATGAGAAAGAAAAAAAAAAATCAAGAATACCAACATTTGAGGTACAAAGACTGTCATGGGCCAGTGGAAGCTGCAAAATTATATGTAAATGACCAAAGTTTTTACTGTGGTGGCCCTGTGCATTCCCGAAGCTAATCCCAAAGAGAAAATCTACTTAGCAAAAGAAAGTTTTGTCTAATTTGGTTAACAGTTGAGAGGTGACAAAAATGCTGAATATATTAATAATTTATATTTCCAGGGTAACACTATATCTTTAATGCTTCACTGCCAAAGGGAATTCAGATTGGCTTAATGCTCAGAGAAAAATAGCCTGAAAGGCCTTCTTCGTACTCTGTATCCAGCGCTGATAAAAATGGGTGTAAGACATGTGCTCCAAGAATAGGCACCAAACAGCCTCCCATATCCGCATAATTGTTCTCATCCCATATTTGCGCCATGTATATATGTTATCTAGAAGGCCCTCTGGTTTCACAATCTCCAACTTTCATGCTTCAGCTGTTGGAGTTTAGAAGGAAGGATGTATTTATTTGCATCTTACACTTTGTAGATAAGTTTTGCTAGGACTTGTCCTGCAGGTGAGGACAAGAACCCCTCACCTTTTCTAAAGCTTGTAGCCCCCCTTCTTGTCCCCAAAATACACACGCACACACACACACATGCCACTTTATGGGCAATACAATATAAAGAAGTTTTATTTTGGTTTGTCTCTGTATGATGAAGTGTGATGGTTAACCAATTGCAGATCATGGTATTCCATGACCTCATTAAATAGTTCTGAGTTCCCTTAAATTGTTAACAAAAATGGAGTTAATTTTTCTCTCTACAGTTCAGCTACTGACCCTGGAAACAAGAAAATGTACTACATAATTTCAAATAGTTTGTTTAAAGGTCATCACAGCTAAAAAGAACAAAAGGGAAAGATGGGGACCCAAATAATGAACATTTCCACAAACAGAACATTAGCCTGTTGGATACCAAGCTCATTTTACCTGTTTACAAAAACAAAACAGGTTGAATTTGCTGTTTGGGTCTGAGAAAAACATCGTTTTAGTATGCTATTTTAGATGTATCACTATTTTTGTGGGTAAGGTGAAAATTCAACTAGAATGGAAAACCATAATCCACCCCACACTTTCCTCACTATCCTCCAGTGAAACGAGGTTCAAATCCCACCCGGAGAAAGGGAAAGGAGAGAAAGAAACCTTTTCCCATGAGGTCTGAGAACTGGGGCCAGATCCCGTGCCCAGATGGCAGGGGTCTGCGGAGTAAACAATCCTTTGGGAAGCCCAGTTCCCACCCGGTTGTGTGCGGACTCTCACGCGGCTGCCGAGTGACCCCAAAGCTGAGCTGAGCGTGCGCAAAACGCCTTGCCAGATGCCGCGTGTGCTCTAAGGTTGAGTAATTGTCATCCGAAATTAAAAGAGCTTAGTCGCATGCTATTTTTATTTTAACGTCCTCTGCATTCTTTCTTTTTGGTAGCAGAGGCGTGTGAGGGCTGTGAAGTCTCCAGGCTGGCCTGGGTGTCTTCGCGCTCCAGACCCACTAGCGCAATCTGCGCGCCTTGAGCGCGCGCGCCTCTCGCCTCTCGAGTATTCGCCGCCGGGCTCCTAGGGCTCCTAGGTCCCAACTGCCAAAGTCAGGTTGGGTGGGCCCTTCCGGTCGAGTTGTCTTGAGAGCTGAGAGCCTATTCAAGCCAAACCTCTGATGCGGTCTGGAGCTCCTAGGAGCCACGAATCCCGTCCTCAAGTGACACCTCGATTTAAGCCTACGCCTATCCCTCCGACATTAGCATCGTCCAGGGCACCCCCAGAGACGGGTTGCTGCGTCGGCCTCGTGCCATTAGCACACGGAGGGGATGGGTTGCGGAGAAGATAGCACAGAAATCCACCTCTCTGGATTTTTATCAGAAAACGTTTATTGCTGGGGGGGTGGGGGAGGAGTCAGAAGACAAACTAGCTCTTGGCCTTCCCCTACCCAGATTTCTTATTGGCACAATTTATTTACACTAGTACAAATATACAGCATTTCTCAAGCAGCGCCGGACGCGCGAAGTCTGGTGGGCTCCAGAGCGTCAGAGCACGGGGGGGTGCTGGGGCGTGTGCAGGTTTAGGGCGTTGGGGTGGGCGTGGCCGATCAGGTTGAGGTAATGCCGGTCCAGGCCCTGCACCGGCGCCAGGAAAGGGCTATGCTGCTGCGCGGGGCTTGGCAGCGGCACGGGTGCGCCCGGCAGGTAGGGCAGCGTCTGGCTGCGACCCGCGCTCGGCGGCCAGGAGAAGTGCCCTGGGGCTGCGCCCTGCGCGTAGGCGGAGGCTTCGCTTGGGCTGTGGCTGGCGAACTCCGGCCCGGCGGGATGGAGCTGATAGGAGAAATCCGGCTCCGGGAGCGAACTCAGGGGTTGAAAGGCGGGCTCGGCGCCCAGGCAAGCTTTGGACTGCAAGAAAGCCAGGATGCGCGCGTACTTGGTGTCCTTGGTTTCCATCCGCTCCACGGTGGTGAGGTAATGTACCAGGTTCTTCATGCACTCGTGGTAGCCATAGTGGAAGTAGTTTGCAAACTCCGCTAGAAGTTCTGCTGGAGAAAGGAGAAAGAGGGAAAGAAAACGTGAGCAGCCCGTTCTCTACTGGGAGCCGGAAGCGCGTACCAGACGCCCACCACCAAGATTTCTGCCCCATCCCCATTTGAGGTCCGCCACCTTCTCTGCTCGGTTTGAGACTGGAAACGCGCAAACGACCTTGTTTTCCCTAGGAGGCGGCCCTCCTTCCTCCTTGAGAGGAGGTGATGGAATCTATGTCATCCTAAACCCATTTTCCAGCTTCCGCTGTTTTCACTATGTGCCAGCCCGCCCCAATCAGGAGGTGCGGAGCAACATCTCTCCTGAACCCCTTTCTTTCCGATTCTCAGCCCCAACCTGGTTGCCCAGATTCTTGCCCACCGCACACCCACCTTTCTCCCGTCCCCGGGGAAAATCAGCGGAGTGCAGGGCTCTCAGGTACTGAACAGTCATCTCAAGGATCTCTGCCTTCTCCAGCTTCCCGGAACTCTACAAAAGTAGGAAAGAGACTCAGGGGGCCCAGGCTAACCCTCGCAAACTGGGTGCAGGGTTTTATCTGGAGAAAACCCCGGGGAGCAGGGCACTGCTGGGGGTGCGCAGCGGTTGCCTGGGGCTCACTCAGAGTTTAGGTCCCCGAGAGGGAGACCCACAGGGGGGATATTCCTGGTCCCCAGGTTCCCGGCATTTCCATCGAACACGAACACGCCAGACAAAAATCCCCTGCTCCTTCCACCCTATACTGAGCGGGTGACTTTACCTGTTTCGCCAGGGCCATGGGCACCGTCTTGCCCAGCTCGTTCAAGCAGCGGTTAATCCGATCCCTCCTCCGCTTTTCTATCACTTTGTGGGACACGGGGGTTCTCTGTGAACAGAAGTTTGTGCGTTTAGGGTGTCAATGCCTGGGGAGTTGTCAAAAGCAGGGCTGTAGTAGTTGCGTGCCAACTGCCTTATCAACCCCCAACGTTTCCTGGGTACTCGCCCCAGGAACGGTTCCTGCCTTTCCACGCCTGGTCAGATGAGCTCTGCCCTCACCCCTGGGTGGGCGGGCTCCCCGTCTAGCCTGTCCATATCGACTTGGGCTACAGGGACAAACTGAGCGCCAGGATATAGGGAAGGTGGCCAGTGGTCTCCAGGCATGGACACCTCTCCCGATGAGGAGTCTCTTGTTTCTGTTCTCATTCCCTGCCCAAATCATTCAGGATTCCTGCACAAGAGAAGTTCCCTGTGGTCCTGTCCTGCCCTGGGTCCATCCAGGTAGTGGCCTGGGGAGTAAGAAGCCGCCTCTTTTAGGGCACAAGAGCTGTCTAGACAGCCCACTCACTTTGCGTTCCTTGAGCTTGTCTGACATCCTGGTCAGTGTGCGCTCTCGGAGAGGCGGTGGCTGGACACCAGCTCTCTCCGCCTCCTGTGCCAGCTCCAGTGTCCCAGGTAGACTGCAGCCTCCCAACTCCGAGGGGCTCCTTATAAAGCGCTCTTCTAGGGCTCCAAGTGCATTCACGACTTGAATTATTCCATAGGATTAGGGGAGCTGCGTTTGGGGGATGTATGCATTCAAGATCAGTTTTGAAGAATTAAGAGGAAAAAAAATAGCAGCCGAGGGGTGCGAGCTGGGGCAGATCAGCTTTGTTAATCCACGTGGCCCTTCAAAGGACACGTGATCGGCCGGGGAATAACATTTGCATGGCAACAGCCGGGGCGGGAAAGGGAGGCGGTAAACTGGAGCCGGCGGGTGAGCGGACGCCGGCAGCAGCCGCAGGCGCAGCGCGCAGGGGCGCAGCGGCCTCGGGCGCCGGGGGGCGAGGACCCTTACAAAACAGTGTCGCCTCCTTTAGTCCCACCGCAGAGTCTCACACGATTGCCTGTTTACAAATCCCAGCAAGCCCGCAGCCCCTGCGCCCAGTGCGTTTTAAAGCCTGTCCAGAGTCATTAAAGTAATTAAGTAAGCCTTTAATAGGCTGTTCCGCCGGGTTCAAGGGAGAGCGCTTGGAGAGCGAGGCGCCCCGTTTGTTCCCAGGCTTTTCTCACACGACTTGGTGACACGTCCATCTCCCCCTTTTTTGTTTACACCGCTTTATTTGCCCGGACACCCCGGCAGGTGTGGGGCTGCGGCTGGCACACGAGGCTCCCGCCTCGCCTCGCCCCTCCCGCCGGCCTTTGGCACGCGACGCTCCCCCCTGCTCCCAGACCACGTCGCTGCCTTGCTTTTCTCCCCCCTCAGGCTCTCTCTAAGCGGGGGGAAGAGGTTCAATTTGTAGCCTATTATCCTGTATGAAAATGTCCGTTGAAAAGTGAATAGTTTCATTGGGCTAAATTTTAATAATGCTGAGGGTGGGAGGACGAGAGAGAGGCAGGAGTGTGTGTGTGTGTGTGTACACATGTGCGGGGGGTGGTGGGAGAATTGGGGGGCACACGCAGAAGAGGGGGCCGAGAAGAAAGGGGGAATGCAGCTGGCCCAGGCGAGCATTATGCAACGTCACCTGCGAGAGGGGGCGCCTATAGACCCCTATTCATTAGCCTAATTTTGGTCAATTTAACAAACTTCAGGAGAAATTACTGTGGCTTTGTCAGAGAGGGTGAAGCCTTCTGATCGAATTAACAGCATGTTTTGATCCGGTAAATGTCATTAGAAAGGGAGAAACAATCGCGCTTAGAGGACTCAGAGTAATGCGCCCAAGTGGAGACGCCAGAGCGCACGGCTCACAAAGGGAGCAAGTAGCTGCCACAGGGAACTTTTGTACCCGCCCATCGCCCAAGTTTTGACACAAAAAGGCATTATTTCATACTTGAATACGTTTAATCCAACGATTGTCTATTTTCTGCAAACATATTTTCACAGCATTGTTAACTTTTTATGTCCCTTTTTCGCGGGCGCCTTTTCTTAGTTTAGGGGCGGGAGAGCGCAGACACTTTGGGCATCAATATTTGTCACTGAAAAGGGCTCCGTGAAGTTAGGGAAGTTGATCTCTTTTTTATGGTTTTAGAAAGCGAATATATTGGGGGAGGAGGGGAGGGACGGCGTGAACAGAAACGAGGAGGGGGAAATTTGCTAGATGGGCCCATGGAGAAGGCGGCGGCTGGGAACTCTCGCCACTGCCTGCGCGTCTGCGGGCAGCCGACCCGCGCGGCCTGGGCACTTCTCTCGCCCCGACTGTGCCCCCTCACTTTTCCCGGTCCGAACCCACACTCGGGGGTGCTCCAGGCTTGCAGGATGGGGGCGGGGGTGAGTGTTCTTGCAGGTGGAATCTATAAAGTTTTGGTTTATAGACTAGGGAGCCACCAAGTTTTCACCTTTTTCTAGTCTGTTCCATTCCAGAACCCCAAGACCTCACCTCAGGTATTCTTCCTTTTTTAATCCCCACCCCACTTGCATTCTAGTTCTAACATAGCAGAACAGCTGTGTTAGTTGGCTCTCCCTTTGGGTGTCGCCAGTCATTAGCAAAGGTGGCTTAGGCTGGAGCCCTGCCCGCTGGTGGGGCTTGGCCAGCAACCGGAGCGCACAGCCAGCGCTGGGTGCTGGGCCCTGGGGAGGCAAGTGGCCCACCTGCGGTGGCCTGGAAGATGTGGAACTGTTCTGCCCACAAAAAATGTGGAACTGTTCTGCCCACAAACCCCTAGGGGGTCTCTGGCATTCTTGCTTTGGGTCTCCTGGCCACATTTCTTTTCTGCTTCACACCAGATTGGACAAACTTCGGTCTCTGCAGGTTGCTTTTCCAGCCGGGGTGTTCTCTGGAGGTCTGTGGATTTCAGTATATTCACTGGCACACAAAGGGATTAAACACGGACCCTTATCATCCAAATTAACTAATGTGAATGGGTAAAAGGGAGCGCGCACACTTCTCACCCCACCCCCTATTTTAAGCCAGTGGACTAGGAGCTGATCCTCTTACTGCTGGTGTTAACCGCCAGCTGCTGGCACCTTTCACCAGACAAAATGTCTTCTGTGCAAACAATTTTTACAGTGTTTGCTTCAGAAGCTGAGGTCCAGGGTTTGCGCAGGATGGCAGATACCTGCCAGTGGTTTGGGGGTCCCATGTGGATGGCGATGGGGATGGAGAGGCACAGAGACTGGGCACTGTCACTCAGCCCTTGGTAGGAGACAGGGTATGCCTCTTTTCACTTAGGTGAGGAACAGGTGTGTGTTTTTTTCTCCTGTCCTGCAGGCTTGAATCACCCTATCAGAAAGTTGTGGGGCCCTTAGGAGGGACACACAGTCTTTTTCCTTTACCCCCATGTTGATAACTAGGTGATTTCACGTAGTTCCACTCCAGACGAGAGCAGAGTGGCAAAGAGCCTTGGTCACTGAAGCCAAATGTCAGCTCTACACCTACCAGCTGGGTAGGCTTTGGGCTGACTACAGAATCTCACGCTGCCTCAGTTTCCTCTTCTGTAAAATGGATATATCAGGTCACAGGGTGGTCAGTGGAATGAAGTAGGTAAATCTGGGCAAAGTACTGAAAGCTGCTCAGTTAGTGGTTTTACAGTTACTGGAAATCTCTTCTGCAGTAATTCTAGAAGAATAGTGTTGATGGGTGCGAGCTGTTTCATGTTTCTATTTACTTTATGCTTTCTCATTCTTAAGAAAGCCTCATTCTCCCTGAAAAAGCCACAATGATTTGTTAGATTTACCAGAATTAGGCAAGTGAATGGGAGGGGACCTTCAGACACCCCTGTCACAGGTGGCGTCACCTAGTGCTTGCTGGCCGGCTGTGCGTCTCTTTGTGTGGGAGGCTGAAAAGGAGCTAAGTGCAGAAGTCAGTTCCAGTGGTGCAAACATTAGCATCAAAATCAAAACAAAGCTAGGAGCTAAGACTTCTTAGAAATTAGACAGCGCTAAGTAAATAATAGTCTGTGCTTAGACTCCTGGCTTCTAAAGACCTCTATGGAAAATACAGACCACACGAAGGAGGAGGTTGCGATTAGTGCCCATATTGTTTGCCCATATTATTGCCACCTTAGGTCTTGGGGGCTCTACCTATATTTGGCATGTAGCTTTCAAATATAAAAATGGATTATATTACATTTCTTTCCAAGTCTGAAAATGTGCATTTATAGGTTTGGGAAGGGAATTGGGAAATGGAAGGAAAGGAGAACAAAAATGGAGTGTATATTCTGTAATGTCAGCCTCCTTGCTGTACGACAGAGTCCTGGGTGATCGCAGATCTCTCCCTCCACCTCCCACATCCAACACACAGCGCACTTTCTAGATTCTCTAGGGAACTGAGGACTTCCCGAACCAAGGGGGGAAAGGTGAGGCGCTCACTCTCCGCTTTCCTGATGTACCAACAAGACAAGGCATGAGGGGACAGACAGGACTCATGAAGGGTCCTGGTTCTGAGGTAAGTGGGATCACAGAATGTGGGGTTGAAGGATGTGCCCTTGAAAGGAGCCTGAAAGAGCATCACATCCCCACCCCCACTTGGCCACTGAAGAAGCCAAGGGGGAATTGGGGAGCTGCTGTCACTGATGGGTTGTTAAGCTGTGTGTGCCTCAGTTTACTTCTCTGGGAAATCCCATCAGGATTCCCACGATCCAGGTTGGCAGACATCCCATAGGCGCCTGCTGCCTCTGCTGGGGAGCTCATCCTCAGAGCGGCCAGTGCACCCTTGAGGTACCTATGTGCTCCTGCTGCTCCCATCCAGTGAGAATAGAATGGGTGAGCCCAGCCAGGAAAGACCAAGCAGCAGGTGCAAGGCCCTGCCCCGGGTACCTTTACCCGTGGAAAGGACGTGTCTGCACCGAAGGCCCTGTCACCTCAGCACCTCAGCACACAGCCATGCAGCGCCGCTCCGGCAGCCGCACAGCAGCTGTCCTGTTGGATTGGCAACTTTGCTGGGCTTTTCACTGCTCGCGTCCCAATTCCTTGCTTCCTCTGACCAGCAGCAGATTCTCAGCTCACCAACTCCTATGTGTCAGGAGACTCTTGTCAGTGAGTGGGGAAGGTGCGAGGGACCCAGTAATCCCAGTCTCTCCAGTCACGAGGACACGCGTTGAAGGTGTCTGTGTGTATTTGAACCCAAATCCGAAAGAAAGCCAGAGGCCTGTGAAACCTGTATGCATAATGGGGTCACTGCCTGGCACTGTTGCTTTTATCTACTTTGTTCTTGTCCTGAAACAGTTGATTTCAATGCTTTTATTTTAAAAAGATATTTTATTTATTTATGCATACAAGAGCTGGGTGTAGGCTAGCAGTGGGGGAGGGAGGATGAGGTAAGAGGGTTCACCAGAGACAGTGGGGAGCTGGACAGGCAGATCTACTGAAATTCACTGCTGAGGGGAGCAGCGGGGATTTCAGTGCTTTTTAACTCTGTTGTACCATCTGGTGTCTGGCAGTTTTTGCCGAGTGAGGCAGCAGCTCTATGTCACCGCTGTGATCAGCAGCACCTCCTGTCCTGATGTTTCCAGCTCCTGTCTGTGGGCATCTGAT